ACATACAGGTACAGGGGAGATAGATATCTACATACAGGTACAGGGGAGATAGATATATTTTTTCATTCGTTATTGTATACATAAATCATGAACTATTTGAAGCAAAACAGTTTTCAATTTTTTAAAGAATATTTCTATAGCTATTATTGAGTAGGATTTATTTCACCTGAATAGCGCCAATCCTCTCATAAAACAAATGACAGCTAATATTAAGCTATCTATATAGAAGTCTTGCACAGTCCATGTTATGTTTTTTTTTCTGTTTCCAAAAAGCACTGCTTTCATAAGTTAAAACCATGAAATTTTCCAATAAGGAAATGAAAATGTCTGAACAAAATTTTAGACAACTAGGTAATATCTGTAAGATGTGAAATTTCCCAGTCCTATGCAAATCAGATCCGGTGTAGAATTTGACATTGTGATACCATGAAATAAGTGTTTAATGGCTGCATGATGCTGACAAAACGCAATTGCAATTGATCTCCAGGAGATTTTGTCTAAAATTTGAACAATTGAGAAAAAAAAAAAGAAAAGAAAGAAAATACTTTACAATACATAGCTACAAAAAGAATATTGCAATAACAGAGTCTACTTCAGAAACAACAGGCTCATAGGGATCATAATCCAAAAATCCTGCAGGAGGAGTAGGTTTATAAAGAATTTGCTTTATTTTCACTATTTGGGCCCTGCCCTCGGGGGCCAAAACCCATCGTTTACACAAAATAATTCTTCTTTACCTAACAACACCTCAGAACAAATTTGAACAAATCAAATCATATCAACAGGGGGAGTAAGATTTTAAGAAATTTGCTCAATTTCCGCTAATGAGCCCCGCCCCTCCTCTCCCAGGGGCTAGAGACCAACCATTTATACAAAATGATTCCCCCTTCACCTAGGAAGGCTTCAGATAAAATTTGGAAAATATCCAATTATTCCTAGAGGAGGAGCAAATTTGATTCTCTGTTTATAGAAAATTGATTCTCTTAATAATGCTATGGAACAAATTTGGGCAAAATCCATTCATTCATACAGGAAGAGTAGGATTTTAAGGAATCACTGTTTCTACTATTGAGACCCAGCCCTTTCGCCCACGGGAGTTGAGATCAAACGTTTATACAAAACTGATTTCTCTTCAACTATAAATGCTTCAGACCAAATATGGGCAAAATGAAATCATTCCTATAGGAGTAGGATTTTAAAATTTCCCTTTCTGGGCCTTCCCCTCAGGCCCCTGAGGGCAGTGACCTACTATTCATACAAAATTTTTTCCCCATCCCGCAGGGATGCATCTGACCAAGTCTTTTATGACTAGTAGCCATTTCTAGGGAAAAATAATTGACAACCTGATGGAATACAGACTTCGGGCTAGATGAGCTAAACATTTGCAACCACAGTTACAAACAACAAATTTGAGTGACTCAAACAAGCAAGAATTACAGGCCTATGTCCACACTCCAACATCAGTTATTTCTACACAGTGGCAAATACCAAAGTCTATCACCCTCTTGAGATCAGGGAAATAGCTTGATGAAGATCAGTCAACAACTCTGATTAACCCAAATACCCCTGAGTATTTATTTCTCATTTCTAAATTACACTAATCTTGGAACAACCCAATGCAGTTTCAGGGTAAAGCAGGTTCTGTATTACTGTAACTAGGTATCATCTGAAACTAAAAACATCCTTCCCACCCTAATTTTTTTATTTTAAGTATTAGTCCTTCATTTGTGAGAGATACAACCGAGGGAAAAAATCAAAGGTGGCGAAAATTCATAGGTTATGAATATTCATTAGTTTTACAAATGAATTTGCATCTATGGTAATTAGCTTAATTGTTCAGTATCTTGTCATGCTTGTCTGGGTAATGGAATCAAGGGTGAAAAAAATCTCAATCTCTAAAACTCATGACAGAAACAAGGTTTAGATGAGATTTCAGACTTAGACCTCAAGGGCATATCCATTTGATCATAGCATGAATATTTCCGACATGAAACCAACAGGCAATTGATCAAATGGAATTAAGAATTTCAGTCTAAAAAGAAAAAAAAAGTAGGTAAACATGTAAAATGTGAAGTTAATAAAAAGAAAATCAAGGATTCGGCAAAACTGAAAAAATCAGATGATCTGAAACTGCAGAGAGATCAAGAGTTGGTCTCTACTATAATATACTATCTGCTCTTAGCTTTTGGAACATAAACCCTTGCTTAATGTTGGATAAAAAGTAACTTAATCCAAACAGTTGAAACATAACCTTAATCATTGAAATAAACCCTCACATCTGTAACATAAACTTGATCATTGAAATAAGCCCTCACATCTGTAACATAAACTTGATCATTGAAATAAGCCCTCACATCTGTAACATAAACTTGATCATTGAAATAAGCCCTCACATCTGTAACATAAACTTGATCATTGAAATAAGCCCTCACATCTGTAACATAAACTTGATCATTGAAATAAGCCCTCACATCTGTTACATAAATTTGATCATTGAAATAAGCCCTCACATCTGTAACATAAACTTGATCATTGAAATAAGCCCTCACATCTGTTACATAAACTTGATCATTGAAATAAGCCCTCACATCTGTAACATAAACTTGATCATTGAAATAAGCCCTCACATCTGTAACATAAACTTGATCATTGAAATAAGCCCTCACATCTGTTACATAATCTTGATCATTGAAATAAGCCCTCACATCTGTTACATAAACTTGATCATTGAAATAAGCCCTCACATCTGTAACATAAACTTGATCATTGAAATAAGCCCACATCACCTGTAACATAATCTTAATCATTGAAATAAGCCCTCACATCTGTAACATAAACTTGATCATTGAAATTAGCCCTCACATCTGTAACATAATCTTGATCATTGAAATAAGCCCTCACATCTGTAACATAATCTTGATCATTGAAATAAGCCCTCACATCTGTAACATAAACTTGATCATTGAAATAAGCCCTCACATCTGTAACATAAACTTGATCATTGAAATAAGCCCTCACATCTGTAACATAATCTTGATCATTGAAATAAGCCCTCACATCTGTTACATAAACTTGATCATTGAAATAAGCCCTCACATCTGTAACACGTGAAAATGAGATTTCGATAACCCACTATCATTAGCTTTGTGTGATGAGGTTGATTAATGGCTGGACACAGATTGAAATTTAATTGCTTACTTACAAGCCATGATTTTTAATCAAAAGATAATAGGACGTCGTGTGATGTTCACCGTTGTCGCCATTGCGGTAATGGTATTTAGTTATTCCTAAGTTACGGAATTTGGAAAACAATCAGAGGAAATCTTGTCACTTGTATGATGATTTTACTCATTTCCAAAGCGTCACATTTTAGTTTTAAGCATAAAATCATGAGAAACACATTAATTTATCTGTTAATCATGCATGCTCTGATTGATTCAGGCAGCTGTTATCAGAACATCAGCAAACACTCTTGTAATTTCTACGACCAAATTTGTGTGATATTGCTGCTGTCGTTTCTGGACAAAACACATTATGATATTAATTTGTTTTCTTTTTAAATGTGTTAGTGCCTATAATGTTTATGTAACAGTCTTGAAATAATTATTGTAACACTTGAAGACCACTATAACGCTGTGCGTCGAATCATTCAAAATTGATCCGTAAAATACATTTACTTTGAGACACGAAGGCACGAACGTAAACATATTAACACATTATTGGTTTCTCGTTGATTCCTATTCAAATTTATGAAATTTTATGAATAAAAATTCTTTGTTTTAAGATAAAAATGCATCTTTTCATTAATTTTTTTTGTTTTAGTATTGTTGTGTTTGTTCAGGGTACAAATATTGTGTCATCAACTTCATATAGCCACTAACATGAAAACGTTGATGTAACCCACCACGAATAATTCAAAGTCTTGAAGTATCATTGTTTTTTGGTAGTCCTTTGAACATTTTGAAACATCGAAGTGTGACTGTACATGTCTCAATTAGCAAATCGCAAAGCCTTCTTAATCAAATTGATTAGACAAAAATGTGTGGCAATACAAATAAATTTCACATATGTAGTTAAGATAATCTGCAAGAATTACTCAAAAAAGAATTTTTATTTGTGTTTCAAAATCCCCTGGAGTTTTGAACATATTATGACTGCAATAATATAATGTTTACAGCTGATCACAATTACATAGACTTCAAGAAATCGTCTCGATCTAGCCTGGCTTAATGAAAAATTGAATAATGTACTACCTTTATGGCAGTCTTTAAGATGACATGCCTAAAACACACCTAAACGAACCTATTTCTTTTTTCACTGCGAGTTAATATCTCACTGTTCAAAAGACGTGTTTTGGTACCATTAAATGTGAAATTACTTATCTTGCTTAACATATGGTTTATATGATAAAGCCCTGTAAAATCATAAGTGCTAATATGAAAAGAAAATCTTCTTCTAAAAAACTGAAAAACCTGGAGTCAAAATACATATCAATAGTTTACAGTCCTTTCAATACAGATAACATACTTGAGAAAGTGAAATAATTACTTTGCATTGCTGCCATTGATTAACATTTTCGATGAAATCATTTTCTTTTAAAGCTTTTTCATTACATACACCATAAAATTCAAATTTTCAAATAGGAATGGTACAATTTTTATTCATAAAAACTACCTTTGACATTGAATTTTAAGGAAATGGAATTCCATCCTTTCTTTGAAATCAATATCAGAAAAAGGTGACAAAATTAAAAAAAAAAAAAAAAAAGGCTTATCAATGTTTAAGCGGAATATTTCCGCAAAAATAATAACACTCAAAAAGGAGTGGAAATAGCAGAAAATGATTGCACACCAATGTATTGATTTTCTTCAAGAATGTTCTACTTTTAGATCTCCTTATATTTTCAAATCTGTTTTCACTGAAAAACATACAAATGACAAGTAAAAAAATAATTTAAAAAAAAACATGATTTAAAGATTTAAAGTTTATTGAAAACTTACCTTAAAGAACACCCAGTAACTCCACAACATAAAGTAAACAAATTCCATGGTTTCACTTCATCAGCATTAGGGTGAAGTTTCATGGAAGGCTCCAGATCGGTGTTTGAATTATTTTTTGCTTTGGAACTATTTGGTTTAAAATGACATTTGCGTCTGCTGATTTTAGCGCCCTTGTCGCTCGCTAAGATAGACTCACAGCAGATATGCTGTGTCTGTTTGTTTACATCCCAGCTGTGTGTTCGAGGCATCTTGGATGTAACCAACCAACAGTGTGTTAAATGTACAATTCATGAGCAGACGATCTGAAGCGACCGTCCTGTCAGATCTATACTAACAGGTTTTCCCTTTCTGACTTCCTGCAGTGATTGAACACTCAGTGTCAGCCACGCCTACTTTCATTCTCATCATGGGTGAAAATTGATTACTGCCAATCCAGGGTCAAGCCTGCTGTTAAATTTTAATATTGTCCACAATAACCTGCAATATCACAGTGAAATTAACACCATTTCTTTATCCATGTTACAGAAGTTTCCAGCAGATTTTGTAATAATCCTTATGTATCCATTGCTCAATGAAAACTGACCACCATTATATATTTCCGTTAACATCGGATGTATTTCCTGTTTTCATCAATCAAGTGCATTACGATTGTTGCCTAATACTGCCCTGACATAACAAAGGCATTACTGGGGTCAGGATTCTGACAAGATAACCCTGTAGACTGTGTATGGTCTATCATGTCTCTAATTGGCCCCTGCGATTATCAGCTACAAGTACAGAAGTCCATTACAGTTTGATTATATCATTGTCCAGATATTGATGAAAAATAGGTCCATCAGTCTGACATGCCGTAAATATCAGTCAACCATTATATGCAGTAGAAATGTCTGATAAACATGACTGTAGTAGACCTGTGGTCAACAACTATGGTACAGGTATATCAGGATTCTATACATAAAATACTGTCACAAATTGTGTTCCACTACTGGCACATCAGAGACAGTAAAACAGATATTTTCAACAACATAATCATGATATGATACCTTTACTTTCAAAACACAAAAGGAACGTCCCTATTCTTATTCATATATTGATTAAAACAAATATATGGTAATTAAGTGTTATTTTTGTCCAAAATGTTACAAAAAATCTAGGTTACGTCATGCGAATGACATGTCCCAGGTTTCCGACATCATTAACAATCGTCATATCATGGCAAGAAATTTAATGAAGGTATGACGTGGTTATACAGCTATAAAATATTTGTAATGACCAATCAGATGTTATGTTACAACTCAAATGAATAAGAACATGAATGATTTTTTTTTTTTTTTTTTTTAAATTATATGAGGTATATCAGCTTCTGTGTATCCTTTTTTCTCAACAGATTGTATCGTGCATTGCTGTAGAAGAAACTTGTACTACTTTTGAGAAAAGCTATAAAACCTCACACAACTTATCAGCCAATGAATGAACAGGATTCTGAAGACTGTGCCCTCAGGGAATTTAAATTTGTAATTGGTGACAGACGAAAGAAATCTACAGGTTATTGGCTTTATGCAAATATAAAGTTTGAAGACATTTCAATATCTGCCTACAGATTAAGACACGTGAAAAATGTCTGGATTTTCCCCCCAACATGTCAATTTCACTTGTTAACTTCCATTTTATACTTCTGGTCATCAATGACAGTCAGAGGTGCCATTTAAGCTACTAAATTATACCATATGAATCTAAACAGTTATCGCTTGCTTCAAATTTCAAATATCGAAGCTTATATAGCTTCAATGCTAAATAAGTAATAGCACATAGTGATTGATTTAATGATGAGAGATTTTTTAAGGAAGGACAGCTAAGTGATCCCATGCCTTAATATCTAGTCTGAAATAGTAAATGCTGCGATTGAGAAACAGCTTCCAAAGATAAATATTGTTTCTACAAATGTGGTGGGTTGAAATCAAATGTATTATATTTAGTGTTTTAAATTGATTAGATCTGTTGTTCGTTATACAATATATATAAACTTTATTTATTTTACAACAATTGCGAAACAAGTTATGTCAACTTATACTAATCACTCTCGTTGGCCCGGATGTAAGCATGCAAGGGGTCATATTGTGGGAGGAAACCGGAGTACCTGGGGAAAACCCACGTGGTCAGGCAGGTGAACCCTTACCTTTTCACGTCCGTTCCGGAAATCGAACCCCGGTCAGCTAGGTGAAAGGCGAGTGCGTTACCACTGCGCCACCCGACCACCCAATATACAATAAAATGCCTCTTCAATTTCTAACCTGATTATAGTTACCTTTTGTCTATATAAATCCCACCTTGTCATCATTTTAAATATTCTAACAACTTCAAGAACTGATTTAAATTGCTCATGAAATGAAAAAAAAAAAGTTATCTTGATGATTTCGATCTTACAAGTCGTGATGAGGAAAGGGTGTCAGGATGATAAGGCTACAGTAAAGCTCTATTCCAGGTTTTATACCTGCTTAAGTATCACCATGACGACATCCATCTACATTCAAATGTATTAAACTTTCCTTCATAACAACAAGTTCAGTTATTGTTATGGCAGGATATACCATAAAAGGGAGATAACTCACCCACAAAACAAAATGTAGAACAGTAAGGTATATTTTTAATGGTGATGATTATTTACACCGGTATATAGATCACAAGTAAAATTATTCATGTACATTTTCTACCAAGTAATAAGCCCATGCTTTGTAATAATCCCACTCATGTCTTATTTTCTTTTGTAAAACATTGTAGAAAAGAAAAAAATTAAAAGTGTTTTTTATTGTCCACTAATATGCCCACTCTACTACTTTGAACCAGAGATAATAGAATGGACACCCAGGCTTACTGCAGGATAAGGACTACTTATATCTTGGCTGTTACAAATTCTATACTTGAAGTGAGTTATTAATATTATGATAACTCACATCAAAAAAGGGAATTTGTTCAGCAACTCAATGTTGTTAAGGCTTTATGAAGTAAAATTATAGAACAGACGTAATTTTTCCTCAAAAATCCGCAGCTAAGGGATAAAACTCTAATAAAAATGACAGGTTACAATAAATATACATGATATGGGATACAACCTTAATGAATAAAATCTAGCCTAGCATAATATGACACATTTTAATCAGTGCCTTGGTCATTTTATGTCCCACCTATCTCTCACTACCTAACCGTTGTCAAGGTAACAACACCAATGTATTTCACATTTCACAATTCAAAGCTGGAGTTCCCATCTCATGGACTTGTATACTATACATTGTCAACACATAGACACTGTTTCAACCTTAACATGTCTAAAACATTTCTTAGAAAATGTCCCTAGTACAACAACCACATTTCATTCTCATCACTCAATGTCTGTCTTGACAAAATTCTGCATCTACCTTTTTGTGATTTTCAACATATAGGTAAAGGTTAAAATTTTGCTTCCTTTTATGTGGGAAAGTCAAGTGTATTAAAAGTACCTAAAGACATATTGCTAAGTTAATGATGCTGATTAAATTCAATTAATTTCTTTTTTTGTTTTTGTTAATTTTTACTAAATTTATAGGTTAAGAATTAATCATAGACTCTAGATCAAAAGAATCGTCTTAAGATAAGCTAATTAAACAGCACACTTGGTAACCTATTCATTACAAACACTTGACTGAATTTGATTGATCTTACTCATTAAAAAGCTTAACTGACTAAGAACATTTATATTCAATTCAGAAGCAAATCAAGTTCCCAGACAACAAAGATTGCATGATATTTTTTTATGACTTACAATACAAGAGCAGATATTCATGTGTTGATTCAATCAATATTTTTTAATGGCAGCTCCTGTACAAACACAGAGCTGAAAGCCATATTGTTTAGATTACAATTTTTTTCCATGACTATACTGTCAATATATATACTACTAGATAGCCTTGTTCATGTCCCTCTGACATAGCATGCCAAGGTCAATGTGATTAGAAAGATCAAGATCAAAGAGAACCTATGTTTTTCCAAATCTATTAAATCACTTTATTTATTAACCTGCAATCAGGTTAAGTTTTAGTATGTAAACCCATTTATTTCCCATCTATCTGCTATTCAGCAGTCAATTGCACACAAACGATAATTGATGTTGTTCTGTAATAAGTCCACCTCCTTACAAAGAATAATGTGTGCTTGCCCCTTGATATATATATCATTTTTTAACAAAATAGATTTTTGAGTATTTACATGTACACCTTAGATGAAATTTAAGATATAATGAATCCAGAATTAAGAATTATGATGAAGAATGTTAAAATGATGTGTTGTAGAACTTCATCAAAAATGTAATTTTCCCCATACAGCTTTTTCACTTTGGATTGATATATTCATACTGTGAAAGACCATCACAAACCTATTGTGTACCTCGTTATGTATACTTTCATCCTGGACTTCACGAAGGACGAACTCCACTGTTATCATGGGCTTACATTTTGAAAATGAACTTGTTCTTTATAGCCATACAAGACAGAATTTGGCCCAGTCAATGGAGAATATTGCCATTAGCACAGTGAAAGTACTCGTAACAGGAACCATATGACATGTCACTATCACGCCAGTTTTCATTGCTTTATCTCTGTCCTCTTCCTGCTTGTAATGTCAGTGCTTGTTGTAGCTGAACTATGTAATTAACAATCAACAAAAGAAATTCAGAGATAATCTTTGAAAACCGTCAAATCCAAAATTTTCCATTTTCCAGAATCCAAAAACCCATTATGCACAAATAGAGAATTCGGAACAGGACAAAACAAATACTTATCATAAACTTTCTGAGAAATGAAAGTTACAGTCTTTTAGTGAAAAAATCCAAAATGGCTGCTATTCCGCCATTTTGTTTTTTCTAATCAGTTCAATAACTGAGCAAGCACAAATAACTATGAATGAATTGAAACCCAAATTTGAAACTTAAACAAGATCCATCAAATATTTTTCGAGAGAACATTCCCTGGCAAAATCAAATCTGATTAGACTTCAGTGAGTTTCAGGAACGAAAAAACAGACCAATCACAGACTGATAAGCTTCTCTGAAGATGACTAAGGAGTGAAACCCATATCTAAAGCCAGTACAACATACTACTATACAACCTAAGAATTCATTTGATGTACATCAAAGGATCAAACTAGTCTTCTTGTCTTATTCTCTAGGTGATGTTGCACACAGAACTTACAAACATGCCATGAAATGTTCTAGGAGTGT